GTGGTGGCGCACATCTTTAATTCCAGCACTGGGGAGGCAGAGGCAGGCGGATCTCAATGAGTTCAAGGCCAGCCTGGTCTACATAGTGAGTTCCAGGACAGCTGGGGCTACAGGGAGACCCTGTCAAGACCAAAAAAAAAAAAAAAAGTTTGATCCAGTTATAAGCTATTGAAAGTAGTCAGTGTCTTAGAGACAGAAAGTAAAATGTGTCAAGGGGCAAGGGAGGGCCTGTGGAGAAGACTGAATACAGAGTTTCGTGTTGCAAGGTGGAAAGGGCTCTAGAGATTGCCTGTGCAGCAGTGTGAATGTGCAGAAAAGTGTTTAACTTGAAGATGTTCACTGTGGTTAAATTTTACCTTAAGGTAGGTGTGTGTGTGTGTGTGTGTGTGTGTGTGTGTGTGTGTGTGTGTGTGTGTTTATAATTTTATTTATTTTTTTATTTTGTGTGTAAAAGTGTTTTGCTTGCATTTATGTAAGTGCAACTGTACTGTGAAGTATCCATTGAGGCCACAAGAAGGCATTGGGTTCTCTGGAACTGAAGTTACAGATGGTTGTGAGCTGCCGTGTGGGTGCTAGAAACTGAATCCTAGTCCTCTACAAGAGCAGCCAGTGCTTTTAACCACTGAGCCATCTCTCCAGCCCCGTATCTTTTGATATTTTTATTATAAATTTGTTTTTGATTTAACATTTTTTAAAATTTTATTTCTTTATTATACATATATGTGTGTGCCTGCATGAGTTTATATGTACCACATGCATGCAGGTAACTGTGGAGGCCAGAAGAGTGTCGGATCCCCTGGAACTGGAGTTGTGGATGGTTGTTAGCTGCCTTGTGGGTGCTGGGAATCGAACCTGGGTCCTCTACAAGAGCAGTCAGTGGTCTTAACCACTGAGCAATCTCTCCAGCCCCCAGCTGACATTCTTTAAGGGAGAAACTCTATATAGGTTGCCTAGACTCCAGTGGATGAACTTGCACTGAGGGACATCTGGGTACACAAACTTGACTCTATAGATCT